AGATCAGCTATCCCTCGCTCCTCAAGGAACACGTCAGCTTCATCGAGGAGCACTACACAATCCCAGAGGCTACCTAGGTATAACACTGCAGTGGTGGACGTGCAAAGTCAGAAATTGGCTCATGTGCATTTCTTGCAACTGGAACTTACCTGATTCGAGGTATTTCTCGACTTGTTCTGGTTCGGTACCAATGTCACCACACGTAACAGGATACAATGGTTTCTCAGCCAGCTCGGCGACACTCTCTGCGGTAAAAGTCTTGCCGGTGCCAGGGCCTCCGTGAAGAAGAATGATGAGTCCATTGCCTTTGCCCTGGATGATGTCGGTGTTTCTTTCGCTAGAGATTCGGTCGGCCACCAGAGCGTGGACAAGCTCTTTCGTCTTGTCGTCAGCGACTAGATGGTTGAAGGCCTCTTTGTTCCATGAGATGTCGACTATCTTGTCGACCACCAGATCGACTATGGGTAGTCAGCTTTTTTGCATGATAGATGTTAAGAGAACTCGTACTCCACACTTTGCGGCGCAGGGAGAATCCAGGTATAGTTGGCGGAAACAGATATATGTCGGGCGCTTGAGGAGGATCATCGTCGTCCATTCTTTTCACAAATAATGACGTTCTGTCTTTGCTACCACTCATGAACACGGGGCCTTGGTTTCGTTTCGATTTCTGATCATTGTCGTGGAGCTTCTTGAAGGTTTTGTTGTCGATTACGTATCGCTCGCCGTACTATAGCATGTTTTAGCTTTGCTTAAAGCAAAGATTTGATTGAGCGCTTTGTTCCTACCGTATGCGACGTCTCTTCATCCCCACCCTCATAAGAGATCGGGCGTTTGACACGACATGACCAGAATGTACGGCCTCTCTGCAAGAGTTGGTTCTGTAGATTCTTACTGACGAATGGCAAGGGGATTATGCTCAACTGAGCAATGTCGACTTCTTGATCGTGACTGTCGGCGACCAATTTAAGTGTGAGCGTCTCATTTTGACGATAGAACTGGCCATCGTAAACGATAGTCGAACATGACATATCCCAAGCCCATGCTTCGTTGGCCTTATTCCTTTCATCCGCCCTTGATCCTACACGCGACGATTTCTCAAATTGATGCGAATCATGGTTACGTCCGTAAGCCCTTTGTAACGTCGGCATGTCTCGCAATCGATAGGCCTGAGTCTTGTTGCCATTTTGGTCAACAACGACATCGCCTGGGAAGAATAGATATTCAGTGAATGCATGAGATATGCGCCCACGAGATTTCATCTCTTCGAACTGGTCAAACTTGGCGGCGTAATTGCGTTCAATCCAATCGAAAAGTAGCTTCAAATGCGCTTGGTGCTTGGGAAGCTGATTCGACACAGTCTGTCCCTTTGATCTGCCACGGTACCAGAACAGGTAGGGAGCCTGTAGATTATCCAAGACCGAAGGTAGCTGTGTCTCATCAAGCGTGCACGCTGATTTGAGAAATATCTGCAAAGCCACGCGAAGCTCTTCGGACATGATCGTGATGGTCTCATTCGACGGTTGTGGGGCAGGGAGTACGCCTGTTTCAAGTCCCTCGGCCAAATCAATAGCGCTGACTCTAGGTGTTGCGTATGACTTGTATACCAAGAAAGAGATGTCGTCGTTCTTTCGTAGATGGGTTTTCAAGTCAGCTAGTGGTGACTCCGCTCTCAGCTGCAGTCCTCCCCCCTTTCCGAGAGCCCAAGTCGGCTCTTGAAGACAAACACTGCCATTTACATCATCCAATATATGAAGCACCTGGAAGCGTGGAGGACTGATACCCTGCCCCAGTGGATGTTCCGATCCTTTAATGCTTCTCTCCAAATCATCGATCCGTTTCAACAGCCGGCTGACAAGCTCTGACTCACAGGCATTGGCGTGGATCTGTGTCGATGCTTCCATTGAGTGAGCGATGGGTGGGTTTCGGATGGTAAGCAAGGGTGGCTGTTGCATGTCGAGAGGCATGAAGTATGGAGAGCTGGGTTCGGGGGCTTTGCCGAGACGGGAGCTTCCAGGAAATGATTGGTTAGGGATGTCAGATGGCGTCTTGTCTTGTTCTTGTTGCGCCATGAGCACTCGCTTTTTGTTCTGCTGCTCCAAAAGCATAAGCTGTATTTGATAGTCTTGAAGAGCGTTATTGCCTTGAGAGGGAGATGGTGGTGGCAAAAATTCGAAGGGTACTTTTTCCGTCAAAACTTCCAGGTTCGCAGCGATCGCCAAAAGTTTCTGTGTCGCGAAGTTGCTAGATTCTGTTTGATCTCGTGATATGGTCAATTTCTTTACGATATTGAAGAGCTTCTCGTCCGCTTCCGCTTCTGCTTCTGCTTCTAGTTTTTCTTTCTGGTCGGATTGCTCGTTGCCCCCAAGATACAAGGGTCGACGAACACCTGAAAATGCAGATTCAGAACCGGGACTAGATGAACCCGGGCTGGACGTTTCGTACTCTGCACTGTCTATCTGGGATGCATCCTCATCAGTGCGGAATGTTGGACCCTGACCGTCACACGAGCCCTCAGTCTGGTCCCCGCCAGCCTCGTCCCCACCAGACTCTTCAACCTCGTGATCAGAGTCTTCAGCCTCGTCGCTGTAGTCTCTCGCTTTTGTTGAGCCTGCAGTGGGTATGGAATGGAAGGGGCGAGCAGGATCGCTTTTGCGACCTCTTTTGGGTCTAAGTGGTTTGGTGAACATCTGCAACAGATAGGCTGGGAAGGATGGTAGCGCATAGATAGCAGGACCCCGCACGACGACAGGAGTCTGTAGGTAAGACGACAGGGTCTAACCACAACGAGGTTGGTACAAAAGCCACCTGCTTGGCAGCTGAACGCTGCAGCCTGGAAACTGGGTGAGAAACTGCGTCATTTCTCCAGACCGACGACGAGAACATAAAATGACGACGCAACAGCAGCAACTGAGTGAAGGATGGGTCGGCTGTTCTAGTACAACGTATGCAGCCCGCCATGACCCTAGGGCAGTCCCGCGGCGAAGCGCCTCCCTAGGTCGTAGCTGCATTAGCCTTCACGCTAACATTTCGCAGTACACCAGGAAGCAGTGCAGAAAGCTCATACAAGCTCGCGTCTCTTCATTTTTCTTCTGAATTGACACAAGATAATCGCAAGGTCGATTTCGCCAATCAGTCGGCCACTTTGCAAGGCTTGGAAAACGTCGTAAAGATCGCGTGCAATAATTACGCATCCTCTCGCAGCAACAAAGCAGGGAAATGGCTAGAACGGTTTTCCAGCCGCTTGATACATTATGGAAACATATTCGACATACTGGCGCAGCATCATCCAGAGTATGTCGCCCTAGCTTGGGGCGCAATGAAATTTCTCTTCGTAGTGAGTCGCCCCGGCCATAGCATGAGATATCGAGATCGATTCGATGTTGACAACGCAACAACAAGGCCTTTTTAAACCATGAAGGTGTCATCGCAAGCATAGCAAAGGGTCTCGCTCGTATCGCAGATGCTCTTCCTCGCATTGAACTAGCGACAATCTTGTACCCAACGACGAGAATGACAGATGCTGTAGAAGCATTGTATGCACAGATCATCCGGTTCTTGATCCGCGCCCATGATTGGTACCGAGAGGGTACTCTGCGTCACATCGTGCATTCTGTTACGCGTCCTGCCGAGCTACGCTACCATGATGTTCTGGAAAATATCGAGGCGGGCTCACGGAATATCGAGCAGCTAGCCATTGCGGGGTCTCATGTGGAGCTGAGACAGATGCACACGATCGTGAAGTTGATGGCTGATCGAGTGGAGAGGTCTGAAAGCACCATCCTTGAGATGAGATGCATGATGATCAGTACGTCAACAGTGTTCATATGACGAGGTCAACGCCTGCTTACTGTACATAGATCACCAAGCCATCAATTCATCCTCACTCGTGGATACAAACGACAAGGTATCGGATTTGCAATTCTCGGAAATGGTGCGAATCGCAGCGGAGCTATCATCATTTGATCCAATTGAGAGCTACAGTCAGGCCGTCATGGTACGAAATCTGCGCCGACGAACTCAGCAGGTCAACATTCCAAATGCTTTTTGGCAATCCCAGACGTTGAAAAGGTTTGCAGAGTACTCAGAGCCGTCACTCATGCTGGTCAAAGGTACTTTCCAGGAACGAGGGGCGTTGCGCGACGCGGCCGTCAGAGTAACTGAAGAATTGAAGAGCAAAAACATCACAACACTTTGGGCAGTAAACGTACAACTGTCTGACCGAGCCACCAGAACCCCGAACGCGCTGGACATTCTCAAGTCACTTGCCGCTCAGGCGCTTACATTGGGCGACTCAGCGCACTCTCGGAAATCGACGGCGCTAAGCTGCACGCAGCTTCGCAACGCTACCACGGCGAAGGAGTGGCTTGAGATCCTTGGGGCTACCCTCGAAAACGTTTGTCGGGAAGTATACATCGTTGTCGAGTTAGACATTTTGATTTCTTCTGTCCCCGCAACATCGTCAACCGATGAGGTTATTGCGCTTTTCTGCAATCTGCTGAAAGAATTGACGGGCCGCGCAAAGAGGTCTATTGCCAAAGTATTGATTATAACGAGCAGACCATGGACACCTTTATCGAAGACAACGAATATTTTCGTGGAGACTATGCTATCAGGTCCCCCTCGACGCGCGAAGCCGCATGCAAACCTTCGAAGGAAACAAGGAGGTACCTCGACGTACAAAGCAGCACTGAGAACACTAAGAAGATAAGTGCGCTAAAATACTGAGCACGAGGAAGCTCTTTTGCAATTGTGTAATGTTATTTTACTTGCTACTTTACTTGAACACGTTCTGTAGCCCCTGCGCCATTGCCCAATGATCTTTGTTCCGTCATGACAACGAAAGGGCCCACTATCATTGCAATGGAATGGTACAGTTACTTTTCGTTTATGCGATGATGAGCCGTAAACATCTAGATATGCGCTATGGCGAACATACGTTGATCATTCATCTCGATCGAAATGACGCGCAGAAAAATGTTCGGTACGATAAGCCCGAAAGATCAAAGCTTCGCCAAGGTCTTCGGAGATCGCGCGTCCCATTCCTGTACTCCTGGACGCCGATGATAATCTGCAGGGAAGAAGCGAGGCCCAAGAACTTTTTTTTGCACTTTGCCTGTAACTGTCTTCGGAAATTCCCCATCTGCAATCCTTAGGAGCGTGGGTAGCTTATACCCAGCTAGCCTTTCCCGTAGATCTCGTCGCAAGTCTTTGATCGTCAAGACATATTGAGAACCATCGCTGGAAGCCGAGAAAGGAGCAGACATTTCCTCATTCTGCAGCGAGACTAGTGCGGCGACCCGTTGCCCGTACTCCTCGTCGGGTACACCAACCACCATGGCTTCGGCTACATATGGTAGACTCAGCAGCTCGCGCTCGACGTCCAGAGCCGAGATCTTGTATCCGCCTGACTTGATGATGTCTAGAGACGCTCGACCGATAATGAAGTAATATTTGCCCTCTCGTCGCGCAATGTCGCCGCTTCGGAAGTAGCCATTCCGATCATGAGCTTTTGCAGTTCCTTCAGGATCACGCAGGTACTTTGAGAACATATGCTAAACTTGCTTAGCGCGACCTATCAACCCGACTCATATAACACTTACTGGGCTTTTCACGAGCACCTCTCCCTCGTCTCCTTCGGATAGCTTGACATCAACGCCGCTGGCGAGTTCACCAACTGAACCTTCTGGCACGCTCTCGTCGCCGAGGCGCATCTTGAAGACAGCCCCAAACTCGGTAGCTCCGTATCGTTGCAGGATAGGCTTCTGCATCAGATGCTTCCAAAAGTCATCGAGTGGCTGCGGCAGTGCTGATGTTCCGCATAAGCAGGCTCGAAACTGTCTTGCGCCCGCGGCGTACTTCGCTATCTCATCTGCGGGTAGCTTGCTTATTCGTTGTTGATAGTACCTTCTCATCCGCATGTATATAGTAGGTACACCAGAGAATACGGTCAGTTGTCGTTCGGTATCTGAAGCGCCCTGTTTCCATCGCTCCCACATCTGCTCTTCGTCAAAGCCTCCGCTGCGAAACTCGATCCGGCTACCAGCCACGAGAGATGGGAAGAAGTTGATGCCAACACCGGTCGCATGATGCACCGGGAGAACGTGGAGAGCGACATCATCTTCCGTCAGCTGGTAATGATCTGCCACTTCGAGTGCACAATCAAAGATGAAGGATCTTCGCATAACTGCACCCTTAGGTGACCCAGTAGTCCCACTGGTGAAGATGACCACAGCGGGTGCATTCTCATCCAAAGTACGGTCGGAAGAGATGATGATGTCTCCAGCATGGAGGGTAAGACACGAAATCGTTGTCTGAATGCTTACGGCTTGGAAGCCCTTGTTACTTATGGATGCAATCCGGGTTTCCAGGTCGCGGCATTTCCTCATATTCAATGAGCTGGCAAGAATCAGCACCGATCTAGACTTCTCGATGAAGTAAACTGCCTCTTCTACGGGTAGGGCTGGAGTCAGTGGCACTACAGCAGCTCCAAGAGCAAGTATCGCCAACACCGCTACTGCGTATTCATAGCCTCTAGGTGCTATTACGGCGATGTATACCTCTTCCCGTCTTTCTAGTGCCTCACGAGTCGCACTCGTCGACGTGCCGAGAAGCCTTTCCCTCAGGGCTAGCACATCCGAGAGTAACTCTAGATGGGTCTTTTGCATATTCAACCGAACATCGTCGATAGCTATACGCGCAGGTCTCCGGTTGGCAAATCGGAGAAGCCGACTGAAGAGAGGCTAGGATATGTTCAGCACAACGCCATGAGCATATCTGCATATACGCTTACACTATTCGGCAGCACGTTACGCCCAGAGTGCTTCGGCACCATACAACATCGGTCTTCCATCATCGTATTGTTCGTTCCCGCCCAAGCATCTGGGACTTGACCGCCAATGCTCCGTATCCACTCTTCGTACCTGGGTATTGAGGTGTTGTACTACATGATGAGCTTGCTACAAACGCTCGGCTATAACGACTCGCATGCGGGGTTTCATCAAGATTATATTTCCTTAGCCGATCGTATCACAAGATTCGCGGGGAAGTATTCCGCGAAACCCCGCAACGCTTTCACTCCCGGCGCTAATAGCTGTGCAAGGCCCCGCCGCACGCTCGTAGCCGTAATGATGGCCCAAGGTCACCGGCAATCTCGATAAGAAGGCGATGCAGATTCGCATAACTGTTGGCATCAATTAGTTGCATGCGGCACAGCTTCAACACACCGTTCGGCAATTCCGCCCGCGTTCGATGCATGAAAGGAGGACTGTCACGCGAGTCGTTGTGCCGATGGCCACTGCTCCTTCACCGTTCATGGACTAGCAGAGAGGTTTGCGACCGGTCGGCACGGCCTCTTGGACAGAACCACTCAACGTGCAATTCTCAAAATGCCATCACATCAGACCTCCGGGGTTTCCATTACGCGCCGGCCCTGAGCGTGTCACTACACGCGTGTCACAATCTCATAACTTTGCACGAAGGATGCCATCAATTCCCCAGGTCGCATGGTTGCCGCGGCTGCATGATATCAAGCCCGACTCGATCCACATTTCCAGTTTTTACTTCCTCAGGCGCCTATGCCCCCGTACGTTCAATCACAAATTCGTTGTTTTCTCCCGCCCAACGCTGTTCCGGGTCGTCTACCCGGCCTTGCATACCGCCGTTCGCTGTGCGACGGCCTACAAACCTTAATCCTACGGTGTCGCCTAGATAGTCCCTCAATGCAAGAGGCTACAAGGCGCATGGAAGCCTTCGATGCTCTGCAAATATTTCCGCAATGCAGCTGCCTGGAACGAGCCCGATTGATCAGAAGAGCATGCTATTTCCTTTTCGAAAGACGCTGCATGCATGGCGCTTGTCGCTTATTGGGCAGTGCTGTCGCACATAACGTGGGGCTTATTGCATCAGTCAGCCACAATGGCTGCAGCCGCATCGACATCTATCTTCGTCATCTTACTGCCGACAAGGGTTCTGTTTGATTGTTCCTTAGCGATGCTGATGGTATTTGCTGGCATTTCGCGGTGGTAACGACCCACTAACCGAAGGACCGCCGGCGACGTGTCTCCCCAAAGGCCTTACCGATCATATGACGCATCATTGTTTACACTCACAGCCTGCTCAGAGGCGCTGCATCACACCGCTATCTGTCAGATGCTATTTGGAGTGTCACCATGGTAGCTAGCTTCGGTGAGCTCTCAATACTGCGGCGAGACTGGTTTGTCGAAGGCAGTCATGAAAAACGTGTTCACATTGACTGGGACGTTGAAAGCAACTATGTGCTAGCGCTGGCTCCTTGGTTTCGCGGATCCCTCCAGGCTGCCATGACACGCTCAGCGCTGCTAAACGCGGATGCATTTCTGTCGCAAAAGTGGTTCGGGCACACAAGCATCCAAGCGCCTGGTCATAGGGCTGCAATTTGACCTTGCTTGAGGCGCACACCGACTAAAGAAAGGCAGCACTTCCGGTGTATTGATTTGCCTGCAGTTAGTTTGGTATCGATGATCAAACAATGCCTCGTGGCATCCTGGTCACATGGGCCATTCAGGTTGAAGAGCAGCCAAACCCGCAATTTCAGATACGATCGGAATGTCACGCTGTGCCGCGACAAGTCCCGCAGCGACAGCACGATCGAAGGACGTGGATGACAGCCTGATTTTGACAGTCGACAAACAAGGACAACTCCTATGCGCCCCACCCTTGTCGCCAGGGGCATAGACGTCACAGAATAGCAAATTGATGTTTTTCGAGCTGCATATTGTCGCTAACCTCAGCCTCGAAAGGCGAGGATTGGCGAGATGGAAAAGCAACGCATACGAACGGTCCTAGTCGTGCCCATCTCGTTTGTCGGCGGGAACCCTCTCTGAACGTTGCCGCATCGGCTGCACCTCATCCGTTACGCGAGGTTTGGTAACTCAGGCACGGTCGAGCAAGGCGGACGGGGAAGACGGCACGAGACACGTTTGGCGCACGTCAAGGGTTGAGTGTGAATCACGAATAAGCAGACAGGCGGGGAAGGCGGGAATGAGCGTGGCTTATGCGCACAGATGTTTCCGCATGCGGTCATAGTCCTTCTCGGCCCGTAGTGGGCCAATGCCTCCCGTCACACCAGGCGCAGCTCAATGGGGCCTTTTGCGGTGAAGGGGGTAAAATCATCTCGTGCTTCACATGCCTGGGTGTTTGCTCACCCAATTCGTCGTATGTGTGACTCTTCATCGCACCGGTATATATACTGACTACGCAAAAGCCACGACCATGTCCCTTGAATTACCCCTAGTATCGCGCAACGGCCGGCTTTTTGATCCCATCACTAGCACCATTCCCCGCTTCCTCGAGATGCTGGCCAAACCACACGTTCCGCCCATACCGATGAAGTCGTTTCATCTCTCATGTCTAGACCAAAATGTAGTGCGCGTTTACATACAGACTCTGTGCATCTTTCCTGTATGTTCGCCCGAATCGTTCGTCGTGTTGACAGAAATTGACGTTATCCGCAGTTTCCCGATCAAAATCTCGCCGAGGATGCCATCCAGTCTCTGAATGCTGGGCTTCGCCTCACACTCAACAAATTTCCCTTTCTGGCTGGCACTCTCACACTTGCCGACCGAGAAGCGGGTAAGCTTGCTCTCCACTATCCAGCGGAGATCACAAGCAAGCACCTGAGTCGTGTCTTTCGATCGAAGCAAATCCCGTACCATGAGAAGAACTTTCCACACACCTATGAGCAACTCAAAAGAGATGGCATGCCACCCAGTGCTTTCGAGTCGTCGATGTTTGTGCCGGAAGATCTCGCAGAGTATGCTGGTATTCCAAGAGACGGCGAGGGCAAGGTAGACTTCAACAAGAGCGATGCACCAGCAATGAGAACCCAGGCTTTCTTCATACCTGGCGGCCTTGTCCTGTCGATGTATATGCACCACAGTGTCTTTGACTTCTCCGGTGTCACCCTTTTCTGGCAAACATTCGCCGAGAATGTGTCCAGCCTTTCGAAGCAGCAACTCTTTGAAGAACACAAGATCATGCGTAAGACTCCTCACTGCGTGCTCAAGCTATGACTGACCAAAGCAGACATGGAAAGCGTCGCCGACAAGCAGTCCCAGATGCGGAAAGCTGTTGACGAGCAGATCAAGCCACCCCAAGGCAGCGCCAGCGCAGACTGCTACTGTGATGGCCCACCCCGGTATCTTCAAACCTTACCTAAAGAGACGAAATGTACCCAGAGGCTCTTCGTCATCCCAGCATCACGAGTACGCGAGTACAGGGAAACCTTACGTACACAGTTTCCCGAGAACACCCCTCCGACAATGTGCAACGTCCTTGCAGCCCTGGTCTGGACGCATGTTACCCGCGCTAGAGCAAGTCGCTTGACCAAGTGCGGATTGGCAGAGACTAGCATCGGGATCGCGACAGACCTGCGAAGACGGCAACGACCTCCGGTATCTACAGACTACACAGGAAACATGGCGTTGTTCTCGCGAGGCACAATGAACGTCTCAGACCTCACAAAAGAGGACCGGTGAGTCTAGCCCCTACTACCGTATGATCGCATGTCACACTGTGTGGCGCCCTGAACCTTGCACTCCCAAATCTTGAGCAACGCGATTAAGTTTGAGAACCCCAGCTGACAAATAACGGCAGTGTAACCAAGTCGACAATCATCAACGTCATAAACACCATCAAGAGCACGATCCTCGACGTCGACGACGAATGGGTGAACCGCCACCTAACCTTCTTCAAGTCGATCGAGCAGATTACCGACACCGAGGTCGCACTGGCCTTGAAGTTCGGCTCAGACATATACATCTCGTCGTGGCTCAACTTCGGCGCTGATATCAGCTGGGGCATACCTGGTACGGATCTAGGCAAGGACTCCCTGGCTGGTCGACCCGAGTTCATCAGACGATCTTACGGTCCGGGTGATGGCGGCATGATCTTCCTTCCCCGACGGAGACAAACTGCGAACCAAGAGGAGGCGCCGTTTGAGATCCTCGTACGACTTGCTGAAGAGGACATGACGCGCGTGCTGGAAGAGGAGGGCGGATTGAGCTCTTGGGCCGACGCGGTGATTGAATAAACGGTGAACCCCATCATTTGTTCATTGGTATGTTGTTGTTGCCTTCTTCTGGGCAATGCGAGTTTGGTGCACCGGTACACCAATCTGTTGATGACGCTTACGGTCTTTCGTTTCGAAACGATGGTTTAGGGTATGATTATCTGGTGTTGAATTTCGGTTAACGACTTGGGTCGGGCATTTGATATCCTGTACAATTAGCTTGCATTGGGTGGTATCTCAAAATCGGGGGCGTTTTTCTTAGTTGGATTGGATTTCGTTAATGGTTGCTCTTCTGGTGTTTGGGTTTGGTTTCGATGGCGTATGGTAGCATGATTACGCTGGCCATTATCATGTAATACTATCATGCTTTCCGATCTGCATCGTAGTGTCAACGAGCGGCCTTGCTTGGTGATGTTTGTTCGTTAGTCATCGGGATGTTTCTAGTCGATAGCAATGCTGCCATTTTACGGCCACCGAGCCCTGCGACCCCGCATTTCGACGCCCCGCAGCTTTGCGCCATCAACCTTCTCCGCGCGACATCGACGGCTTCTGCCCACCACACATGATCCGCGCATACCGAGGCAGTGATGCAGCTTACATCTCCGCGTTATTGCCGGCGCGTTGAGATTCGCGATGGGAGCTTGTCTCCAATGCCCGGCGGCATGCTCAGTCGGCTTCAAAAGCACTCGCCCACCTCGCTTCGAAACGCCTGCGACTGACTCTGTTGGTCAAGCAAACAATTGACGAGTAGCCAATCGCATCATGGCAGACTTCACCGATCATCTCAAGCCCGCACACGATGGCACAGCAACCCTCCAAGCCGAACGCGACGGCTCGGGCATTGACGTCCACCAACTCGCACAGCACCTTCTAGGCCGTGATGACTTCCTGAAGCGGCAAGAAAAGGTCCTCCGTGTGTTGAGCAAGGAGAAGCTTTTCAGTAAAGATCAGCAACTGAATCTGTCGCGACCAGAGCGGTACCACCTAGGCCTAGCAAGAGCGAAAGCCATCCAGCGATTGATGAGACGAGAAGACTGGGACCATGAAGACTACCAGATGGCGGAATACCTGACTGATGAAATGAGCCCATACTTCTTGCATATGAGCATGTTCGGTGAGTCAACGGAAGGTTGCAGCTGAGAAAGATGTCGTGCATAATCGTACCACCGGGGCGCTGGGAGCTGACATGCACCGCATCGCACAGTCACAACGGTACGCGAGCAAGCCTCCGAGGAACAGCAAAAGTATTGGATGCCCAAGATCCTCAACTACGACATCATCGGCTGCTATGCGCAAACCGAACTAGGCCATGGGAGCAACGTACGCGGCCTGGAAACCGTCGCAAAGTGGGACCCGATAAAGAAGGAGTTTGAGATCCACAGCCCAACTCTTACGGCGAGCAAATGGTGGAATGGGTCGATGGGGAAGACCGCCACGCATGCAGTACGTATTCAGCCCCCTCTTGTGCGACTGTTCCAGAACTTTATGTCTGCCTTGGGCGTTCGCTAATGTAGCCGCGTATAGATTGTGGTCGCACAATTGCTCTTGCCGAAAACGTCCTCCACAGCCGAAGGATCAGAAAAGGCCGACCGAAAAGGCCAGAAGATCGAGTATGCCTCCCACGGGCCGCAAACTTTCATCCTGCAAATTCGGGAGGCGAAGACCCACCAACCTCTGCCAGGTATTGCAGTAGGCGATATCGGTCCGAAATACGGATATGCAAGTATGGACAACGGATATATGCTCTTCGACCACTTCCGCGTACCCAAGTCGGCTATGCTGAGCCGCTATGCGGAGGTTTCGGACGAGACGGGCGCATTCATTCGGGCTGGTCATCCGGCTGTCGTATATGGAAGTCTGACGTTCGTACGCGGACAGATCATAATGCATGCAAGGCTGGTCCTTGCGCGGGCTGTTACCGTCGCTGTGCGATACTGCGCTATCCGGCGACAATTCAAAGATCGCGATTCTGCCAACCCTTCAGACGGAGAGATGAAGGTTTTGGACTACCCTACCGTACAGATACGGATCTTGCCGTTGCTTGCGACTACTTTCGCGTTGCATTATACTGGCGAGTACATGTACAAGCTGTACCACAAGTCGAGAGAAAATATCGAGAAAGGCGACTTTGGGCCTTTGGCGGAATTACACAGCGCGAGCTCAGGACTGAAGAGCCTATGTACGACGCTTGCTGCGGATGGTATCGAGACCTGTCGACGCGCAATGGGCGGCCATGGCTTCGGTGGTGGGAGTGGGCTGGTAGGGCTAAACGGTGACTACCTTTCCAAGCCAACTGTGGAGGGCGACAACTGGATGATTACCCAGCAGGTTGCTGCGTACCTCATCAAGAAGATGTCGAATGCGGTCAATGACCCAGATTCACCAGCCAAGGATCCAACGGACGAGCTCTTCCAGTTTTATCTTCGCAACAAAGACCATCGCTTACCTCAGAACGTCTTGAAAGACGGTGTTGTAGATGACCAGGGTATAGTCGACGTGTTCCAGTGGCGTGCGGCTGATCTCTCCTACCGCGCTTATCAAGCACGTGTTGTTGAGAAGAAGCCGTGGACACGTCTGATGATTCAACTTCATAACCTCAGCCGCGCATACTCAGAGCAAATTCTTGTCACGAACTTCTACAACAGCCTCATATCCATAGCTCCGCCTGCATCGCCCGCCCTACGCACATGCTTCCAGCTGTACGCGCTTTACACCCTCGACCAATTCGCCTCCTCATTTACAATGACGGCCGCCGTGCCGCCCGAGTCGGTCTTTGCGTTGCAGGATGGGATCATCGACCTTATGGCCGAATTGAGACCACATGCGGTGAAGCTGGTGGACGCCTGGTCGATACCAGATTGGCTGTTGAACAGTGCGTTGGGCAGAAATGATGGTAGGGTATATGAGGAACTTTTCGACATGGCGCATCGCAGAAATCCGCTCAACAAGGTAACGTTCAATCCGGACTGGCGCAGCGAGGAGATTGTGTTGGGAAGTGAGGATGGTGGTCGGCACCTGTTGGCGAAGCTATAGCATGAGCGCATCTCGTCGTCGAAAATTACTGTCTGTGCATGTGCGTCGCGTTGACTTCGCTACTCCTGTGGTTTTGGTGCGGACACCTGTCAGATGTTAATGTGGACGAAATTGAAACTCGGGGTAGCGTGAAACAAAGTCTTCCAATGTATGCGGCTACCCCTTTATGCTTCCGGCACCGGTGAGAAAACTTCGCAATGTTCAAGACACAAGCGCATTGGCACGTCATAGTAGAGGCGAGCTGTCGAGAGACTTGGGTGAATACTCCGCAACTCATAGTGGTTTCCAAACCTTAAATTCGCGGAGCGGTCCAGTCAATCTTACTAGTCGCCCGTTGGAAGAGGGCCGATTACTGATTGCTGCCAGCGCCCAATGACAAGTTGATGTCATGGTTTTAGGCCTCCGAACGCTGGAGCCGTTGAAAATGACATGCCATCTTTCCCTGCTAGACGACCGTTGAAACATTGGCATCGCGTGTTCGCGATGATCGGGTGCGTATCGGGAGTTGTTGGTCGGCGTATTTGAGGCGCTCCGAAAGTAGGCGGCCTGCATCGCCCTTGCAGACTAATAATGGAGTCCAGAATAGATGAGGGGATGGGTACACCAGAAGGAGTAAAAACTTCGACACTAAGAAGTCTGAATCTTATCTGGCTGTGCCTCGAAACATGCATGGAGTTGAACGCCTCGTCTGGTGTTGCAGCATCGTCGCAGTCGGCAAGCGGGAGGCCGCTGAGCGCCAAGACACCACTAAGTCCTGAGTCAGCAACGAGAGATGCCTGTCGCTTGTGACGCAGTTATGCAGTCTACGGCACATCAACCCACTATGCAGCACCGTTTTCCCGAGCACTGGGCCTGACCCCATGCCCTTCGATCTCTGCCATTCAACCCTTATGGTCCATCTTCCGCCAGTCACCGGGCGCTCCATTCCAAGCTCGTAAAAGCGTGGCCTGGGTTTCAGCCTGATCGCCGCTACGCCTTTTCTGGCTCAGGACCCTTCGGATGACCACGCAGCACATTCGCGGACCGGAGAGGAGACATAGTTATTAGACTTGACGTTCTTTGTTCTGTGCAATCGGATGCCCGCGCTAGTGTTTGCTTCGTAGGAACCTTACCTGAGCCTGAACAGCAGCGACTGCGGAGCTTGCCGCCCTTTCGTCTTACCGCCTCATCGCCTCCAGAGCATAAGCATGTCCTATCGTGGCCGACCCAGTAAGGGATGCGAGGCTTGCAGAGCCCGTAAAGTCAAGGTACGCATCTCTTTCTGTCCATTTCTGCGAATTGCCCTGCTCTTCATGCTGCACCACGCGCAGGGCAACGACGGTCATGCGGACAAGGCTGATGCCAGAGTAGTGCGATGAGGGTAGACCAGCTTGCAGTCGATGTAGCAAGGCAGGCCATGAATGCAAATATCGAGACCAAGCCGACATTCTCTTTCGGAACCAAACGGCATCGGCTGCGCAAAGAGCAGAAGAGTCGTGGCGGAAGCGGTCAAAGTCAAACCAACGTGCTACCGTTGCCGAAAGTAGCAACGCCTACAGCAACACCTATAATAACACCTATATCAAAACGCCACCAAGCGACGAGTCAACACCACCTCATCTGGATGACACGCGCTCTTCCAGCGGTAGTGTACATTCTCCTGGTGGCTCTGTGGATGACCCGGCTCAAGAATCATCAAGCGTTGCGTCCGCAATCATCGATCTAAGTCGGCTGACTATTACTCCGTCGCTCAATCCGGACTTCCGTAGAAGAGCTTTCGAGCGCTTTGTGTACGACTTTGTGCTGCCCGACTCGCCGAACCGACCAGCCGACCAACCAGATGAAGCCCTGTGGACATTTATCCCGCTCTTGTATCAAGACGCCCCGGAGAACTCATTGATCGCGACAGCGGTTGACGCAGTATCTTACGTCAACTTCGCTAATAGATACAATGATTCTCATGCGCAAGCACTAGGTGAGGAATGCGTAGGGAGGGCCCTGCCGATGTTGACAAAGGCAATCGCGGATAAGAAGCAGGCAGCCACGAATGTTGCGCTTTGCTCAGTGCATCTGATGGGCATCTACGAGGTACGTCTGTTAGTTACAGCTTGATGGTATGCACAGGATCTAACGTGATGAACAGAATCTTACCAGCGTGCAGCGGAAAGGCACCTTCTTGGCTCACAACCAAGGCGCAAATGCTATGCTTCAATTGCGGACGGTTGAGGAGTTCTACAGCGACATCATATCAGCCAGACTTTACGAAGTCATCTATGCACATCTGGTAATTGCAGTCACAGATGAACACCTTTTTTCCGCTGATGGCTAACCCTGCGACAGCTATTAGGCAACTTACAGGCAGCAAGACGCCCGCAGATACCTACGAGAGATGTGGTGAAAGTAGACGAATTACTTCCAAGTCTATACAAGAACTCCAACGCCTTTGTCATTCGTCTAATATGGCGAGCGGCAATGCTACATGCCAGATGGCACGAGACCAAGCAAAGTCCAAACCCACCTACCAACCGCATGGCCTTGCAAGAACTCCTACAGAGCGCACTCGAACTGGAAAGCGACTACGAAGCTTGGGAGGCAAACGTCACACCAGCATGGAATTATCATATGACACCCAACACACCGGAGGCTCGGTCGACTTACGACGCCAAGTTACAGAAGCTCTTCTTGGGGTGTCCGGGCGCACCGGAAGAGATTCACATATACCCGAGCTTGAAACGCGTCTGGATCTGGGGCTTCTACCGTACGAGCCGCATACTTGTTCTACGTGATCTGCTCGAGATGTTGAATTGGATGTTGAGATTCCGGGACCCTTGCCTATCTTTCCGTCCTCAAGAAGCCCCGGGTCAGTCTATGCCTACTGCTCTGAGTACCGCAAACCTCCGCATGCATCACTCGGTCGCTACCGCTCGCCTGGTTGAGGTCATTGAGAAGAACTGTTCCTCCATCCTTGGCAGCTTTACTGTACCGATAGATACGAAATCTGCTACCGACATATGTGGTATGCGGGGCTATATCTGCATATGGCCCCTGGGTACAATGGATTCAGTACTCAGCTCAGGACTTGTGCCGGATAGCAATGCAGGCAAGCAACCGCACAGCGCTACTCACCTGCCAACACCACCGCCAGTTCACTCGCAACCACATCTGGCCACACCCACTTCCATCGCGTCTTCCTCAAGCGAGCCGTCGACGGCCCTGGAATCCTACGAGGCAGCACCGGCATTTTCCGAACTCCGCAACATTCGGACCAAGTCAGAAAGCGGCCAATCCCCTGGCGCGAGTCCGCCATCGAACACCCCGCTCTTGGACCAAAATGCGAAGAAGAATCACATCTTTGACCCCAACCCTGCACACCCGTACGATCACCCGCTAGACCTACCTCCTCTGGATCATGGAGTTGAGCCCAGGAGAATAGACATTGCAGCACGGCGAGAATGGATAAACCGGCTGATGTACTACATGGCCACAGAACTGGGGCTGAAGAAGGCGCTCTGGTGCCCAGTCATGCAAGGCTACATGCCCACCGTGAAACCCATGGTTGATGAGATTCTCAGTCAAGAAAGAGGTTTCTAAAGATTCGAACTACGCATTTGGCAACGGAGTATAAGCAACAAGGGCATTTCGTTGGCGTTTTTGAGATTATGTCTTTTGCATTTACGAAGGGAAATATGGGGTTGGATGCACGATTTGGTAACATATCTGTTCACGTACATATATTTCGGTTCGAAGCTGTTTTGGATATATACGAAAGTTATGGCTTGTACTTTGGAATATGAGGGTGCTGTCCAGTGAAATGGAGTAAATCGTGAGCTGACTCGGTTAGGATAAGCGTTCACGACTACTGCCTTGGTCAAGAGTGGGTAAGCAATAGCTCGCTGGAGTCCTGAAATTCACAGCTCGGCCTATGTACCCATCGCCTATCAGTCCCAGCTGCAATTGCGATTCAGTGCGACCAACCAGCCATCAACCGATTTCCACCAGAGAAATCCCCAAACTCAAATGGGCGGACACAGGATGAATTACGTCGCAACTCTGCCTTCCATCCCCGAGGAGGCCGTCGACAAGCACGACCTTATGTAAGTTCTTTCTCTAGAACTGTCGCTGCAAATGTTCGCCCGACCCGCTGACATGCACAGCACAGAAGCCAATGCCAAGAACTCACCATTGCTGCGCCTCCCAGGCGAGTTGCGCAACAAAATCTACGGATACGCTCTCGCCGACTCTTCCATTGAACCACTGCTGCGCCCGCGGACTGCCTCAATACACACTCGAATAAACTCGGGCGGGCCCATGTCCCCCACCGTCTCACTCATCCGAACATGTCGTCAGACCCGGTGCGAGTCCGAGTCTCTCTTCTTTTCCCACACAACGTTCGGCTTCAATTATGCGCGATATGACTTTCATCGTTTCCTGGGACACATTGGGCGTGAAAAGAGGGAACTCATCACGTCGATTGCCATGCTATTCTCTACGCTTGAATTGCTTGAGCAATACGAGGGGCGGTATAAGCTTCCACGGCTGGAGTACGTTTACGTGAGGGTGTCTGCTGGATATCATGAATATTATCACAAGGGCAACACGCAAACACTACAGAGGCTTGCTGGGATGATGGGGAAGAAATTGGGATGTGAGACGGCTGCGTTTGTTCCGACAGTATATGTTTGTCCGTGTGATCGATGTCAAGTAGCTAGTAGTGGTGGTAGATTCGGTTTGAGACAAGAAGATCAGTCGTGTCTTCAGGCAGTCTCGGATCGCTCGGACGTCACCTCGTCCTCTGGCTGCAGCCTCATGTAATTAGCGCCAAATCGCAGTCACCATCACCGTTTGTCCTCATGCAGACCCTGTACTAGCGTCGCGGCCGGCATTGACTGATAGCTCCTCAACCATCTACCTGCTATCTCGCTATCACATCCAACATTGAAACACAAAACCGGCGTCGCATCGCCAACTTACTGACGATGCTTCGCCTCTCCGACCTAGGTTCCATGAAACCTCGCGTCCTACCCCCGGACCAAAAAGATGACCGCGACGAAGACCTCCGCGACGTCGACGACGTCTTCAACAACGACTACGATGAGCGAAGCAACGATAAGCATGTCGTCTTCCCACCGGTAAACAATAAAGATGAATTGTACCCTCACCCCTCCCCACCCAAACCCTCATCCTAACACCCCCACAGCACCCACACCCCCCAACCCCCCTCCCCTCTCCTCCTCCTCCCCGCCGAACTCCGCAACAAGATCTACAAATTCGTCTTCCTCAACACCACCATCAACATCAACAAGCTACTCATCAAAAAAGACGTGCTCAGCTGCTACCCCAGCGTCCGCGCCATCCTCTACACCTGCCGCCAGATCTACATCGAAGCCAGCGCTTTGTCCTTCACGCTCTGCACCTTCGTCCCTAGCTACTTCGCGCTCCGGTTTTTTTCTTCTTCCAACCTACCGACTGCGGGCTTCGGAAGGATCGAGCATCTGTGGCTGACGCAAGGAAATGGGCGGGCTATCATCGAGGGACAGGATGAAATGAAGGGTGCATATCTCAAAGAATGGTTTGCTTCACTAAAGCTCTTAGAGATAGAAGTTTGGCGTCTAAAGGTCAACCTAACGGACGCTCAGGCAAGAGAGAAGGTGAGGGATGCATTTGGGCTGCCGGATCTGTGTATTGTGGGAAGGCGCGTAGGTGAGGATGGGCTGGTGGCTGTTTGATGGTGCGAACGGGATGGGAGTCTAGCGTATGATGGATGATCGGAATCAGGCTTGAGGCTTAATGGCTGGATGTCACGTCGAGACATGAGTTCACCGGCTTCCTTCGTAAAGAGACAGAGGGTTGCGTCGGCGTTTAGCCCCGCGCTAACTTCTAATCCCCGACCTGACCCCACAAGTCCTGCTTACATAACGCACTCGCCCTCTTCCCTCACCAAACCGCCTTCCAGAGTCCAGATTTCCAGCCCCATCGCTCATCCCCCATCCGCATTTGCATTAGCGCTGCAAGTTCCAAGTACACCCGTACCATTCCCAATCCCATACCACCACTACTCTCTTGCACCAAAGAGACCAACACCGATTGCAATTAGCACACAAAGAAAGAGCTAGGAAGCCACACACATATCCCACGAAAATGGATATCCGCGTCCTACGCCCATCGGACATTCCGCATGTCCAGCTTGCGAATATCACGAATTTGCCCGAGAACTACTTTTGCAAGTACTACTTGTATCATGCGATGAGTTGGCCGCAGTTGAGCTATGTGGCTGTTGATGTAAGTTTGTTTCATGAGCATTGTGGATGGAGGGGGTCGCTCTTCTTGTGTGGGGGTTGAGAAAGAGTGGGTTGAAGAAAGAGTTGGGAACTGGTGTGAAGAGAGGGAATAGAGGATGAGGAGCTGAGCGTGTCTGCGATTGGTCGATTGGTCAAAGGATGATTGAGCAACGGGGTGTTGTTGCGTGGAACACGTGATGATTCGACTATTCATCTATACTCTGCCACTGGATAATACAAAATGACCCTTCACCCCACTAACAACCCCCAGGTATCCCGCCCCCCCAAAACCCCCTACGACCCCCCCAAAATCGTAGGCTACGTCCTCGCCAAAATGGAGGAAGAGCCCACCGACGGCGTGCAGCACGGCCACATCACTTCGTTATCCGTAATGCGCACCCACCGCCGCCTGGGACTCGCCGAGAAGCTCATGAGACAATCTCGTAAGTCAACCTTTCTCACCAGCACCACCCTTCTTTTCCATTCATCCATCCGTCTATCCCAACACCCCAACACTCCCACGTCCTAACACCCTACTAACCCCCCCTAGAGCGCGCCATGGCCGAAACCTTCAACGCCCACTACGTCTCCCTCCACGTCCGCGTCTCCAACAACGCGGCCCTACACCTCTACCGCGAAACCCTCGGTTTCACCGTCGACAAGATCGAAGCCAAGTACTATGCTGATGGTGAGGATGCGTATAGTATGAGGATCGAGCTGGCGGATTTGAAGGAGCAGTTGAGGGATGAGGAGGAGGAGATTTTTGGGAGTGAGGGGGTTGATGAGGGGGATGCCGTGGGGAGTGAGGGGGTTAAGGTATGTTTATCTGGTAGGAAGGGGGGATGTGTGCTGACAATTGATACAGGAGAAGAAGCCGGCGAAGAAGACAAAGGTCAAGGTGGGTAGGGGGAAGGGTGTTGTGGATCTTGTGGAGAAGAACGAAGCGGCTGCTGCTTAGGAGGCGGGTGTTGCCATTGCTGAGATTTATCAGCGGATACGTTTTGGGATGTGGAGGGGATAAGGGAGGATGTTGAACGGCTGGCCCTGGGATTGAGAGAGAATGCGGATGTGGATGTGTTGGCATTAGTTTATTGGAAGCACATTCGTTGTGCTGTAGAAGAGGGTTCTTACGCTTGCCAGCGTATATCCCTGTCTGGCCTACTCATGCTATGCTATAACCATGCCATATGCTACCGTATGTTCTAAATTTCCAACTCCATCTCCATGCAAGAAGGAAGTAGCTGACCAAAAGAAGAAGAGAAGGAAGAAAAAACGCCCATCCGTGTACCTTGTTGGATATCATAAAGAGCCCAGATCATAATGGCCCGCCACATAAATCATCATCTTCCCCAATCCTACATCAACCCCCCAAGAACAACCTTGCCCACACCCCCAACCTCACTCTTGAGTCCCGCCCGACAACTATCCTCAAACTCGCGCACAACCCCCGCAAGAATAATCTTCCTCACCCGCGCATCCGCCTTGTTAAACAGATCCCCCACCAAACTAGGCACGCCACCCCCCGCACTCGCCACACTCTCAGGCGTACTAAGCATACTAAGTATCTTCGTATAACAATCAATCAAGACATCGCACAGCGTCGCAAACGTGCTGAAGAAATCAGGGTCGAACGGTAAGCTCGGGGTCTGGAGATGCGTGTAGCTCTCATTCGGAAGCAAGGAGTCGTCTGTTGTAGGCGGAGAGTCAAAGCCGCCGCCCATACCTCCACTTGTTTCCGAGCCAGTAAAACTGTTGCTTGGAGTGAGCAGTGGGAAATCGCCGTTTGCGCTGCTGGACCGCCGGCCTTTACTGCCCATTGACATGCCCATGCCCATGCCCATGCCCATGTTTGCGCGCTTGAACATCTGGGGGAGGCGGGCGCGGGAGAGGGACGAGGGGGTGGAGCCGTCGGCGGGGTGGATGGATTGGTATTGTTCGAATTCTAACAAAAGGGCGTTGAGGGCTTTGAGGTAGTCGGACGGGGAGTTGGCGTTTAGGTCGAGGATCGTTGGGAGCGAGAAGCCGAGGAGCAGGTAGTGGGTGGCGCGCCGGGCTTGGTTGCGCGTGGTGAAGGAGGGGAGGCGCGTGAGGTCTGTTTTGGAGAAGAGGAGCGTGTTGAACCAGTAGATGCGGCCTTCGTGGCTGGGGGGTGTTAGTCATAGCAGGTGTGGGGGAGCGGCTGTACGTACGCCTTCCTCAAGTAGTCGAGGGTGGATATGCGCTTTGAGGCGAGCTCGTGGATGTGCTGGAAGACGAGGTTGGGGTTGGAGCCATTGGGGACGGGGATGGGGGCGGCAGGTGCTAACGTGCGGTTGGACTGCTGGTTTGCCTGGAGGATCTCCTTCTGTGAGGGGGGATGGCGCAGCGGGATGGGGACAGCCATGTTACCGAAGGGAGTCTTGGGCTTGTCGACGGCGCTGAGGGGGCTCTTCTCGTAGACCTGGGCCTGGGGTTGTTGGACACTGCCGCCCTCGGTCTTGACGTTCTCGCTGCTTTTTTGCTTGCTGCGCGAAAAGGTGGATATGGAGAGGGCGGGCCGCGAGGCATTCGTCACACTGGCGGGCACGGGGGCCTTCTCGGGGGAGTAGGTGAGGGCCAGGGTGGCCGAGGGGGTCCTCTTATGCGAGGACGAGGCCGACGCGTTGGTGCGAAGCGAGGCGGACCGTGACCTCCGCAGCGTGGACCCGAGATCGGTGACGGACGAGGCGATGCTGTGCCTGCTGCTGGCGTGCCTGCGTCGTGGTGGCGTCGCTGCGAGTCGGGCGGGAAACTCGTATTGGTCGAGCTCGAGAGGGGGTGTCTTTAGCCCGGGGTTGGCCGCGGGGGTGATGTTGAGTTGGGGCGGCGCGAGGGTCGAGTTTGTTTGCTTGTGTCCTTGTCCCTTGGTCTTGCCGCCGAAAAACGAGGGGCGGCGGGAGAAGAGGCCCTGGCTGGAGTTGTCGGCCATGCTGGTAGCCCAGGTGCTTCCCAGACGTGTGGGGCTACCGAGCGATCAGGGGCTGTTTCACCACGGACCCTGATAACATTGCCGCATTGCTATACCTACTTGTAAATATACTACGGTGTCTTCGTTAGAATGTAGGTGAGAAAACACGCAGACGGGACTGCACGCTATAAGGCAGATACTGGCGCGCAAAACGAAAACGTGTTTCGATTCGCGGCTACAGCTGATACCGTGAGAACCTATCCCGACGCAGGAACAAGCCGCCGGAGGCCCATCCCTGCCCACCGCCTCTGCCCCTGTCGCCCGACATTGCCATAGCTTCACTGACTATGCCATTTGCCCACGTGCGGCTATCAGCACGTTAGGCTGAATCCAGAGTGGCAGGTGTTGCTTCCAAGCTCCAAGCTTCCAAGCTTTCCAGTCCCACGGTTCAGACTCGACACCGTCCGACTCTCTGCCAGACACACCATTACTACCAGGTTCCGCCGTACTGTTGCGTGTTGCTGCCAGCCCCGCCAACTACCCCACGTCACGATGCAGCGCAGACAGAGCGCACGAGTACGCACCACCCGCCCACGCCCAGGCTGCGCAAACAACTGACGAAACACAGGGAGAGTGGATTCCCTCAGAGGGACAGTGGCCCGTGGATCCTCAGGAAGACGTCGAGGTTTCGGAGCAGCGCATATGGGTCGATGGCTGTTTCGACTTTGCTCACCACGGTATGCCGACTGCCACATTCGAGATGTTCAGCGCTTACAGGAACCAGGCCATGCTGGCGCCATGCTGCAGGCGCGCCAGCTGGGCAACGAGCTGTTCGTCGGTGTGCACTCGGATGAGTCCATTATGGAGAACAAGGGCCCCACGGTGATGCGCCTCGACGAACGGTGCGCGCCATCACTACCTTTACCTATCAACTTCCTTGACTAATGATTTCAGTGTCGCCGCCGTCGAAGCCTGCCGATGGGCTACCAAAGCCGTCCCGAGGGCGCCCTACGTAACCTCGCTGCCCTGGATCACCCACTACGGCTGCCAATACGTCGTCCACGGCGATGACATCACCTCCGACAGCGACGGAAAGGACTGCTACCGCTATGTCAAGGCAGCCGGAAGGTTCAAGGTGGTTAAGCGCACGCCCGGCATCTCGACAACCGACCTCGTGGGCCGCATGCTGCTGTGCACCAAGTCGCACTTTATACCATCGCTGGAGAAGAGGCTGTCCGGAGACGAAGGCCCGGGCGATGAGAAGGAGCGGTTAAAGACGGGAGAGGAGATGCTCCAGCGCATCAAGGACTATGCGACCGACGCCTCAGGTCGCGCGCCGGGCTGCGACGTGTGGTACTGGCATGCTTCCCGGCCCGTCAAGCTACGGAGGACAACCACCAGCAATACTGTAACCTCGCCTACCTCCCCCACTGCGCCGCGCCCCGGCACCGTCCGCCAGGCCTCGACCGCCTCAGCACTCGGACCCGTCAAGGAAGAAAAGGGCAAGTTCCACGAGCTGGTCAAGGGCAAGGGCGTCAAGCCTGGCCAAAAGGTCATCTATGTCGACGGAGGCTGGGATCTGTTTTCCTCGGGCCACATCGAGTTCCTCCGCCTCGTCACACAATCCGAAGAGGAAGCCGCCAAGGAGGGCGGCTGGTACACCGACGAAGCAAAGGCAGCGCGCATAGAAAAGTCCGGCGAGGACTACGGCCCCATCTTCCTCATCGCCGGCATCCACGACGACGAAGTCATCAACCACTGGAAAGGCATAAACTACCCCATCATGAACATCTTCGAGCGCGGCCTCTGCGTCCTGCAGTGCAAAGTACGTTCCCCCCTCCCCTCCTTCCCCATCCGACCCCCCACTAACCACCCACCCAGTACGTCCACGCCGCCATCTTCGGCGCCCCCTTCTCCCTCTCCAAAGCCTTCCTGCACACGCTCCCCTACGCCCAACCCCTCACCGTCTACCACGGCAAAACCACCTTCATGCCCCTCGCCTTCGACCCCTACGCCGTCCCCAAGGCCCTCAACATATACCGCGAAATCGCTAACCACGACTTCCAAAACGTAAACGCCGCGGAGATTGTAGCAAGGATTATGAAGGGAAGAGCGCTGTATGAGGAGAGGCAGCGCAAGAAGGGCGAGAAGGGCATGACGGAGGAGGTCGAGCGGATTCGCCAGGAGATGGAGAGGGAGCAGAAGAGGAGGGAGGTGGAGAGTCAGTTCGGTCTCTGAGTTCTTCACATATGTGGAAATGACTATGTGGAGGTGTGGTGTGAGGTGGGAAGGAGCTGTGATATCGTTAGCGTGTGCGACGTTATATACCAATCTTCAACAGATGTCTGAATCAGCCCCCTCAGTACGCAAAGATGCAAGAACTGCTCATCGAATCGCCCATTCCAACCTTTTCATAGCCAAAACCCCGACTCATGGGCTTGATTATCCACGGACTAAGCTATCATATACTCCAACCCTCGCTGCAACTCCACGTTCCAAATTTAGCACCAAATAGCTGTGGCGCCGAGGGATTGGTTCTTGGAGGATGATGTGGTACTGTTGAGTTCAGCGGGATCCGGGGGATGTTGACGGATTGCTAGGTATAAGGATGTCTGGTGGAGATTGAGGTATAGCAGTCAATAGCCTAGCAGCACCATAGGCCCCTACCTTATTTGCTCTCTCCGAGTCTTATGCCTTGTTCGGTCAACTACCTACTAGCCAAGACTAACGCACGCACGTGATGTCCTACATTTCATGATCCCCACAAACTCGGGAAACCATCTCCAACAGACAGATGCAACACCACCATGTCTGAAATGTACGCGTCCGCCAGCCCCGCCAGCCCCGCCATCCACTCAACCAACACCACAGCGCCCACTAACTACATCCCTAGCACCCTCCGCAACCAACGTACATCGCCGCTACTACGCCTTCCAGCCGAACTACGACTCAAAATCTACGCATCCCTCGCCCTCAGCACCACCATAAAATTCTCCCTCCCCCGCCCCTCCCATCCCGGCTCATCCACCCCCGCCATCCTCCTCACATGCCGCCAATTCACATCCGAAGCCACGCACCCGATCCACGCCCTCGCCACATACGACATCACCTTCATCCGCGGCAGTATATCGTTTATCCGTAGCATACCCTTACCGTATACATGTTCTTCTCTCCGCATATCCCACGATGCAGTCCGGCAAATGTATGATCGTTGGAAAGGGTCAGATGGGGAAGCGTCGCCACAGGCGGGTCTGCTGCAGTGTCTGGCGAGAGTGGAGATTGAAGGGGCGGCGATGAGGAGAGAGGATCATAGGCAGGCGGTGAGGCGGTAGTTTGGGAAGGGGAAGGAGGTGGAGGTGGAGTTTCTGCGGGTGTGGGAGGATAGTCTGGGGTAAGGTGAGGGGTTTGGTTGAGTTGGTCGTGTTTTGGTGAGAGAATGTCTTTTAATTTGCGGATGGTGAGATTGATATCTGGACGGTGTTGTTGCAGCGAGGGTTGGAGTAGTGATGGTGTAGAAGGTGCTGATACATTCTTTTTGAAGGAAAAGCTTGATTCGACATTCGAGAAGCCAGACGCGTGGCATTTAGCACGCAAGGAGCTGACTTGCAGGCCTTCCAGTTCTCGGCTACCATACTTTGACTTGTACCCATTCTCATCCGTCTCCATTCAGTAACTTTCCATATCATCCTCCCAGTAATCCCTGAACAGCTCACGTGCTTCGAAGAGCGAGACAGGAGGGCGACATTGAAAATCCACGCCCGCCTCAAAGACAATGTCCAAGAACTCCTTGCCAAACCACTTCCATATCGCTTCCCTCATGAGCGAGCCATCCAAAAGATACACAGCCCAACCCCTACAGATGACATGCACATGCTCCAGACGTGGCAACTGCAAGGTACAGCATGTAGCATCTTGCGAGTCTTTCAAACGCTTGTTAACCTCCACTTCCATGAGGTCGGCAAACCATTCGCTGATGTGTAAGCAAGTTATGTGGGCGCAGAGGCTGTGTGAGTGCTTCGAGTATAGCCAGTACCATGCGTCTCCAGGAAGGGTGTCGACGGTGGTTCGAGCGTATACGAGTGCGGTGGCTTCAGAGCGGGTTTGTTTGCAGGTTGAGAGGAGGCCTGGGAGGTGGAATTGCATGGTGAATTTGGATGGGTTGCGGGTTGGATCGCCAGGGCTTGCATTGGTAATGGTCGCGGCGATGTGGATCTGTTCCGAGTGGCCTACGTAGGTGTAGATCTTGTTGCGCAACTCAGCGGGGAGGCGGAGGAGAGGAGATGTGAGGGTGTTGGTAGGAGTGCTAGGAGGTGTGTGCGTTAGTAGGTAGATAATAGTGTTTAGTGACGGCGCAGGTCGCGGAGACATACGTTTCGGACATGGCAGTGGCGACTTCAACGGCTGCAGAAGATGGACGTTCCATTATGTGTGGGTTGGAGAATGTAGGGTGTGTTGGTCTCGGCTAGTGGGTAGTTACCTAAACAAGAGAGAGGACTTGACGTGAATAAACAGTTCACCGTGATTCGCCTAATTCAGACTAGTGCATTTAGAGAACCTTGGAACTGATGGTGCGGCTAGCGTACTTGCCGTTATACCACCCACTGTTCAAAATAAACATACACAGCCTCCCCTACTTGCCCAACATGGAGACTGCAGCCACAACCACGACCACACCTGCAGCCCCCCAAACCAACAGCGCAATGTCCACGATGTACGCATCCTGTTACACATCTATTAAACTGCACTAACTAGCAACATAGCACTCATCCCACATCCCCAATCCTCCGCCTACCCGCCGAACTCCGCAACAAAATCTACACCTTCGTCGGTCTCTCAACCTGCGTAGGGTTCTTCAAACTGCAGGGATACTCCAAACACCCATTCACGCACACCATCCCCCCCTTCCTGCGCACGTGTAAACAAATCTGCAGCGAAGCTACCGCTCTAGTCTACGCAAACGCTACCTTCAACATGACCCGCAGAAACGACTTCGCCTGGATCGCGTGTTGCGCGGGGGCAAAGAGCTGTACTACTTTACAGATTTCCTGGGTGGTTTCGATGCAAATCGCGCGATACGTTGAGGCGAATAGAGACAGGTTTATTGTGTGCCCGCTGCAGAAGCTGGAGAGGGTGGAGGTCATGTGCGCATCGAAGAAGGCAAGTGAGAGGTTCAGAGTTGCGCTGAGGAATTGGTTCGGAAAGGAGGATTTGGTGGTTAAGTTTAGGGATCTTGGGGGGGTGTTGATGGCTTGGTAGAGATGTGGATGTTTGTTGGGGGTTGAGATCGACAGAATCGAGTAGCGGACTCGAAGAGAGCGATCCATGTATTGTGTAATGTGCGAGTTAACCAATAATGACTACTTTGATTCGCTTTCTCTTTAACAAGCCATTTCCCGTAACATCTGAGAGTACCCTCTCCCAGCCCACCGCTCATCCTACCAGTGACTCAAAGACAACTTCTACAGTAGTATCCTCACACCACGCTCTCAAAGCCGCCCTGATCTTTTCCTCTTGCCAGAGCTTGTACGCATTCCATGACCAGACGTGGATTTTCTTCAAGTTGGGCAGCCATTCAGCAGGAGGTACATACTCTCTAGTGAAACCCCGTCGCCGACTGGGATACCATGCGATATAATCGGCAAAAGTCGAACCAAGCTTGATTGTGGTGACATGCTCCAAGAGCTCATGACTACAACGTGGGTACTGTAATGAGTAGATTTCGAACTTGAAATAGAATGTTGCGTGGGCGCATATCAGTGGGGTGGCTTCGTGGCGGGTTTGCGTACACGCTTGGAGTAGGCCTGGAAGGGGGAAGTTGTACTTGATGAAGGTGCGGGTGCTACCTTCTATCTTTTCGATCTCTTTTGCTCGAACGGTTGTAGAGAGGGCTAGATAAGTATATATCCTGTTGCGAAGCTCGGCGGGGAGTCGGAGGAGGGGGGATGTGAAACTATTGATGAGAGTGCTGGGCGTGTGCGTCAGTGGGTGGTGTTGAGTAGATGGCGGAGGGCTTACATTTTAGACATGTCGGTGGAGGATACAACGGCTGTAGATTGAGTTTCCATTCTGTGGACGGACTAAGAAGTAGGATAAGTTGATTGTGGCTAGTGGGTAGTTGACGAAACTGAGTAGGTAACTAGAATTGAGTGCTTCCGAGCTCGATTTATCTGCAATGCGCTAGCTGCCTAGCCAAGGACTGATACTGCGATCCGCTTCTCTTTTGACTCGCCAGTTCTTGTGACGTATAAAGTTCCCTCTCCCTGCCCGCCGCTCATTCTCTCAGTCACACAAAGATGATTTGCATGGTATTCTTCTTGCACAACACCTCCAGTGCTGTCCCTGTGGTAAATCCCCACTGTTGCATACATGCGTCATACTTGATGTAAATTTTCTGCACGTTCGGCAGCCATTTGGTCGGAAATTGCAGTCCTTCATAGCCCCTACCTTTTCCAATATAGTGGGAAACGAGGCATGCCACACGACCCCCAATCGTAATCGAGGTAACGAACTCGCCGATTCCGGGGTCGCAGCTGCCGTTCATCCAGGCACCCGTGTGACACTGAGTGAAGTCGAAGAGAGCTGATCTGTATACTATCGAGGTAGCTTCGTGTCGGATTTGTTTGCAGGCCTCGAGTTCAGCTGGAAGCTGGAAGCTGCATGTGAGAGACCCTTCAGCTTGAATAGCTTTAATGGTAGTAGAGAGGCCGAAGTAGGTGTAGATCTGGTTTCGCAGCTCAGCGGGCAGGCGAAGGAGCGGGGACGTTATTTGATTGGCGGATGTGCTGGGTATGTTGTCAGTGGGAGTGCGGGGAATGGCGGTGGACGTACATTTCGGACATGACGCTGTCGGGTTGAGGGGCAAGTGAGTTTGAGGTCTCTATTTCGAGTAAGTAGAGAACACTGTGCGTGTGTGTGTGTGTGTGTTTGTGTGTGTGTGTGTTGAAGTGGGTGATACGTGTGAGATATCGAGGTGTATTGGATTGTATTGTAATGACTACCGACTAAGTAGTACGGAAGGAGAAACTATGTATTCATTGAGGAATCACGTGACGGTGGGCAGGCGCATGTGGGGGGCCAGAGAGTCAGTATTCACGGTGCTTATAGATCGATAAACTCCTTCTTATGTAATAAAGAGTCTCGGCGTGCCCTACAGGGCGGTTCAAAGAGAACCATTAGAACTTCTAGCTGCGGCAATGATATAGGAACATGGCTGGTATCAGGATATTGGGAGAGGAAGAGGAAGAGGGGAAATGAAAGTATACTCATCAAGGCTTTGTTGGCTCGAAGAAGTCGATGAAGCATGGTGTTGTATGTTGATTGGTCATCCAAGATACCTTCAAGGGATCAAGTTAATCCAGAGTAGTCTCCATTTATCACTGTTTCTATAGCTATGCTGCTACCGAGAAGTCGCCTCAGCGTTTCGAAGCCTGGTACTACCCTAATAGTGATATACGAGGAAAAGGTTGGTTCATAGCCGGCCGAGAAGAGAACACGAGGACAGCCTAAGCTAGACGTCTCTTCGTCCTATTAACTCCATGTTAGGCAATTAAGTTCTGATGGTGGTCCCAATAGCCGTCCCAAAGAACGCTTTTATGTATGTCTTCGAAGACAATCTCAGCTGTATGGTTCTCACACCAGCCTTTCAGTACTGCTCTGATAGAACTATCTTTAAACCATAACCTGATAGGATCCGCTTCGATATGGATTGTCTCCACATTCCGCAGTACGCTGATGATACCGTCGTGCTCATCAGACCAACCGCCGTCTTCGTCAAGAAAGTTTCGAGCCGCATATTGTACAGGTCTCCAATCAACTTTGACAGAGGTCATACGCTCGCAGCAATTGTCGACGCAACGGTGGAACAGAACCGCTAGGAAGCTACAGTTGGACAAGTCGAAAAGAGCATATTTGTAGAGGAGGTAAGAGCCTTCTTGGCGGACTTGATTGCAGGTGTTGAGGAGGTCGGGTTGCGGGTACTTGAGTAGTTTGGTATATTCCTCCGCGTTGGCTGGTGTCGGGGAGCGTGTGACGACTTGGATGACTGTGGCGGCGCCTACGTAGACGTAGATCTTGTTCCGTAGTTCGGCTGGGAGGCGGAGAAGCGGCGACTCGAGCTGGTTTCTGAGAGTGCTTGGTTCAAATGTTAGTACGTGCGATTGGGTGAGAGACAGCGAGCTTACATGTTTGCTTCAGCCTCGTCATCCAGGAAGGATGCGGAGGACGCGTTGGCCTCCATGTCGCAGGGGCACGGAGATTGGGGGCGCTTGACTCTGGTTGTGGGTAGTGGGCGGGAGGAGGTAGAAAGATTGAGAAGTGAAAGCACTGTTTACTGCGCTGTTCGGAAAGCGCTAGTGCGGAAGGTGGCTACCTCTTATGACTAATCAAGCCCGATGGCACTCCTGAGGTCAAGTTCACCTGTGTCTTTCTTTTCCGGCTTGCAGCGGATTGTCGGCTGCCTTGATCTTGCCCGAAACAGGTTCGCTGCGAATGTATTCACAGTCTATAATCAATAGATCGAATCAAGACGTGATTTGCATGTTATGGTATTGCTTTATAGCTACCTAGGTAATTTCAATAGTCTCTGTTGATCCTCCCGCTGTGAACAGAATCACGGAGAACCGTTTTTGTATCAAATACTGAGTCGACCCATCGCTACGACAGTCTGACCTTTACCAAAGGTAGTGAAGACTGTTCCAACGCCATGTGTCATCGGAAAAATCAGCGGCGTACTCTTTCGAAGATCTCGCTGAGTGACCAGTATCTTCTTGCATGCTGTAGACGTGCACTTTCTAGTCCAGCATCTCTTCGAATATGATCTCAATTGACGCGCCAGCCCACACAAGTAGAGGTTTTCTCAGCTTGCCTTGTAGCTCAGCCTCAACTACCTCCTTGACGTACACAACCTTCAGGTTTGGTAAGATTCTTGATACCCGCGTGCCCATCTCCTGTAACCTGTAATAGGGGGCGCGCATCCGTATATAGCAGGCCAGACTACCCGAGATTCTCACCGAGGTAACGAGGTTACAGATAGTCGAGCTGAGACCACGAGATAGCAGGAATTCCTCGTCGTCGCAACTGACGTCAAAAGTCCCTCGGTTTGGTAGCAGTGCCGTGGCCTCGTGCCAGATTTGCTTACAGCTCATGTGAAGTCCTGGGAGCTCGAAGCATAAGGAGGAACCTCGCCGATTCATTTCCAAGGCTCTTGTGATCGTGATTCTGGCCGCGAGACTGGCGTAGGTGTAGATCTTGTTGCGGATCTCGGCGGGGAGGCGAAGAAAAGGTGATTTTCGCTGGTTCCTGAGCGTACTCTAGGGCGTTAGTTTTGTGAGCGTAAGGCTGAGAGGCCGTTGGCTTACATTTCTGACATTGCGCTTTCATATGACGAAGCCGCGGGTGAAGGTAGGCTCGCCATGGTTGGTATCGTGGGTATCGTGTAGAGAGATGGTGGTTGTACTTAACTAAGATCAAAAGCGACGGCAGGCGAAGTCAAGGTATGAGGCGTCTCGGTGATTGACGTGAGAGTGAACTTAATTGATTGTTGTATTGGAGTGGACGAAATGACTGTCTAGCGCCTGTTCATTTTGGGTAGGAGCAAACGCTATGACGTACGCGTCGCGCTCTCACCTAACGGAACTCTCCTCATACTCTTACCCAGCTTTCTCAAAGATGATTTCAAGATCCTGGTTCCTAGTGCAAGCTCGCAATTTATCCTGTATGTCATTACTCATATACGATCCCATGGGTAAAGCCAACACGTATACTCGCTTCAAAGCCGGAAAGGCTGGACGCTCCAGCTTACACAGCTCATCCAAGCCCTCATAGTGCATGCGAATGGATGTCATAAGTTTATAAACCGGTAGCCTCGAGATCCGCTTGATCCACGAATGATCCGTATCAGAGACCCTGTATGTTACATAATCAAAGAACATCCTACGGGCTTCATAGCGGAGCTGGGAACAGGTTGACATGAGGGCCGTGAACCTTTCGTACGTGTACTTACTCCAACGGTATATACGGATGTACATACTGCTGAATGTGTACACGTAGATCTTGTTGCGGATCTCGCCTGGAAGTCGGAGAAGTGGGGAATGAAGCTGGTTTCGAGTCGTACTGGATAAATTGTCAGCGGGTGCGGCTGCGTATCTGCGTGGGAAATGGCTAAACTACATGTCTGTTACGGCGCTGCTATGTCGCATGGCTGGGGTTGAGGCCAAGAGTTCGAGGTCGAGGATTGCGATCCTTCTCATTTGATGAGGAGTACGTTTGCGTATGTGGTGGTTCGATATCGCGTGAGTAGAGGAAGCAGATAGGTTGATTTTGGTATATGGACAGCGGGTGGTAGAGGGAAGTAGGTTGAAGGCTTTGGGGGTGATTTCGTGAATTAGCACAGAAGGACCGACTGCTACCTCGTTTCCATCGCAGAGCTTTGGTCATGACGTATCAATACTCTCGTCATTCCCGCAAGCGGAACCCGCCCTTGTGATTATCTCTAGAACGCTGAGCTGGGGGCCACTTGCAAGTCCGCATTTCCCGCCCAAGTTCGTAGCGCGTCAACCCCCAAACTATCCTTTGGCATGCGCGATTTACTCCAACCAGAGACATATACTCGCTCCAGTTCCGGGAAGAGTTTAGCTCCCTGTCGTTCCGCTACAAAATGCTCATCCTCCCGTAGGAGCCTTGTAATCCGCTGCGATCGTAGTTGGATGGAAGTGACGAACTGGAAGTCCGCGTGTGGAAGCGTCTGTGGGAACTCCGAGAATAGGAGCGCCCTCAAATCGAGAGTCGCATGCGCGAAGAAGATGGCGCGGGCTTCATGGCGCATCTGGGAACAGGTGGATATGATGGCTGTGGACTTGCGGGCCCGAGGACTGTTGTTGAAGACGGCCTGAGTGCGGGAACACGCGTACGCGTAGATCTTGTTGCGTATTTCCCCTGGCAGCCGCAAGAGAGGTGAGCCGAGCTGGTTCTGAAGGGTGCTGATTACGTATTAGCAGACGCCCGTCGTCTCGATGGGGTTGAATGGTCCAGGTACTTACATCTCGCGAGCTTCTTTGGAAGTGAGCACGCGACGCTGACGTGAGGTGGCTGTCTGTCGTGACATATTGCTACGCGGGGTCAGAATAGAAGACCAGGAAGTTGTTCAATGGCGCAGAACGCTTACCCAGGTACGTGTATTCGAGGATTTGTGGGCTTCAGACTAGTCGGCGTAGTTGCTCACGAGACTGTATGAGCTGGTGGCTTACCGAGAACAATCTGTGGGAAGACAAGAGAGGAGGACTGGTTTCGGCGATCAAGGTGCTTTATATACAGAGGGTACGTGCGGAAGGGGCTGCAAGACTGGGATTAGACCCTCGAGATCACGCGCCAGCCGGATCATCACGTGCATAGGGCCGAGGACTTTTCTTGATCCAGTTCTAATGTGTTGCTATAAATGAAACCATGTATATCCATCAGAACTTCTTGATCGGTCTCAGAGACATGCGCTCCCAACTTGGCTGAAATCGCTTCCTCGTGTACTTAGGTATCCAGCTACTCATGAGTGAAGAAAAATAGATTGGGAAAGAATGCGCTAGCAGCGATACGTCCCAGGTTGCCTTGAAGAATCTTGCATCTTCAGGAGCCAATATGGATCTGTAATCTCCTCGTCGGTGACCTGTAGGTTCGGCTTTCCAAACAATCCTCGCAGCGCATCGATGCATACATCATTCGCCCTAACGGGTTGCTTCAAAAGTACCCTCTCAACCCCAGGTAGATCAGGTTTAGCCCTTATACCAGCTTTGAATTCCCAAGCCTTCCGTATTGCAGTGGTGAGATAACCACCGTCCATATACAGCGAGGAAATGAGGTTACGATATTTGGGGTTGAGGCTTACGTTGGCTGCCCACCCTCCAAATCCAGACAACTCGAACGTCGCATGGGTATACAAGAGTGCGATAGCCTCGCAGTAGAATTGTTTGCAGGTGAGGAGGAAGGTTTGGGTGAAGAGACACGACCTTTCGGAGACTTCTGGGCGCTTCCCGTGCTTGACTGTAGTAGATCGGCAGGCGTATGTGTAGATGTGATTGCGGATCTCGCCAGGTAGACGAAGTAGGGGCGAGTTGAGCTGGTTTGCTGTGGCGCTGTTTCGATCAGCTAGTGTATTATGGATGAAGCAAGCGCTCTATTCAGCAGCTTACATCTTGTCAGATTCCTCAGGCGTAGTTGCACGCTTGAGCAATCCCTCCCACTCTTTGTAGGCCTTCTCGCGGTCCAAGAAGGTTGTCGTCATATCGTGGACTCGGGTATCGGATTGGGTTTGAGAATTCGATGGAAGGACTCGGCGTAGATCTGTTACAAACACGCTGTTATGGTAACGCAAGATCTCAAGACAGTCGCCTCTCTAAATAGTCGCAGACCCGGGCTAGGCAGCTGTGGGGTTAGCCTGGAGTCACGTGTGGGTTCAGAGCGCATAGAACCATGAACATGAATCAGATCCCGATGGGGTAGCAAGGTCGGTGAGAGTCTGAGAAGATAGATGTCTTGTGAAGTCCTTGAATATTCGATCCAATATGTACACTAAACAGAAATCGCGTACTTTACACTCGGTCAGCTCTACCACATCTAGACCTTGGGGCCGTGGGGCTTCTTCATGTAGGTTGGCGCCAGAGGCGGGTCGGCGTTCTTGACCAGCATCTGCACGTACTCGTCGAACCAAGCACCAGCAGCCGGTGCGCCAGTAAGACCGCACTTTCCGTCACTCTCACCACCAGGCTTGATCCAGACAAGAGAGTCGACGTTCGTGTTGTTCTGCTTGGAGCCAGGTAGAGGACCGAATCCGGCAGGTTCCACGTTGCACCACTCGCCCCACTCCTCACGAGCACCGGGAAGAGCGACGCGGCCCTGGTCAATGATGAAGTGGGAAGGCAGACCCTCGGCCTCGAGGTAAGGAGCGAGCGATGTGGCGTAGTGGCTCTCGTCCCAGGATGGCGAGTACTCGGTATAGTTCTCGCGGACCTTGGCTTGGAAGGAGTTGTAGTTAGATACGTTGGTGGAGAAACCCCGGATCTTAGCCATGGGGTTGAGCTTCTTGGCCATGGCAACAACCCTGCCGAAGACCTCAGCGGTCGGCTTCAGGTTATCTGCCCAACCGAGCCAGCCGCCGTGCGCAGCGTCAATGTACAAATGTACGTTGGGGAACTGTAACTTGGAGATCGCGTACGCAATACCCTCCTCGTAGATTGGAGTGGCGTTGGCGCAGAAAGGAACGCCCTGGTTAGTGACGGCATTACCCAGACTGTCGGGCTCGAGAACGATGGCGAAGTCGAGATCCCTGGCCTCAGAAACAAGCTTGGCGTACTTGTCGACAAACTCTTTCTTGTATATCTGGAGACCGTTGTTGGCGGAGCTGAGCTCACCGGCAGACTCGCCAGCAGAGCAATCACGGTCGGGCAGATTGTACAGGACTAGTCCGACGATCATCTTCTTTGGGCCCTTCTTTTGTTGACGAGCCTCCTTGATGGCTTGGGGAATGAGGCTTAGACCATCGCGAGTGGTGACCCAAGTGAAAGTCGAGATCTTCTGGGCGACTGTGCGAGTGCGCGCCGCATTGAGAGTATCGTTCTGGGCCGTGAAGGCTGCAATGGTCTGATCGAGCTTCTTGCCGTAGCTCTGAACAACATAGCGGTCTTTGCCAGTCCAAGGGTTGACGTTGGGGCCTGGGGGTGGCTTAGGAGCTGCGGACGCAGCACCGGCGAGGGCGGCAGTTGCCAAAACGAACTGTGTGAGTTGCACCATGATGAAACGAGAGGCTTGGAATTGACTTGAGGTGGTGATAACTCGGACGGTGGACTACCTGGGGCTTTTATAGAACGCCATGAGGATGAGCGCCGCGGAAAAGATCCATCCAATCAATTGCTTCTCTATCAGCAGGCTTGGTTCAGGCTTGCCCTTACGTTCGCGTGACTGTCTTTAGACTTGGTCAACGGTACCGTCGGCCCGTTGTACATTCCAAGGGCACTCAAGACGGTCCAAGTCCTTGGTGAAAAAGCATTGACATCTCGCATACAAAGCGCCACGGCGGCGTTGCTGTAGTGCTTCATCGATGGCGTACTGTGCGCTTTCTTTGGCGAATGTAAGGAACGGTCGTTCGCCCCTAGATTGGTATGTAGTCCTGTTAACAGTAAATTAGCCAAGGTAAAGTCTACCGGGGCTGCTGCGGGTAGTCAATATATCTGAGCTGTTTACCCGGCTTCTACCCCAGCTTCGTTGAAACATCGACCCCGCAATCCGGCTCGTGATATTGCGATCCTGAAAAGCGCCCTGCAGATTGGACGCGGTGGTCAAGCTAATGCTGTGTATATTGCGCATAGAGTACTGTGGGGATCTTGTGTCATTTCGGACTGCAGCTCGCCATCTGCAGACACTGTACAGAAGATTCGTTGCGTCTTCTAGCGCGGGTGTGAGCGGCTGTACCCTGAGGCTGAGTTGGATGTAGATGCTGCACGCGCGATGCAGGAGCTCCAACACAGGATAGATGTCGAAAGTGATATGGCGAGCTTAGGCACTGGGGTTGGGATGATCGCACAGATTGAAGGCCTGTGGCATACAAACATGCAGATCAATCTCCTTGCACATGGATGCGCGCCCTACGGAGGATACGTGATAACGGCCGTAGGACGACACAGTGAATTATCTGATCGCATATCGTCATCCAGACATCCCGAGATCTGGCTGAAGGCGTATTCCGCGGATGGAGCGCGAAAAGGCACGAAAATGATGGTGCTGTGCGACGCGCGTGGCGTGCATGATATTGGAAACCGAGCAGACCGCCTTCCAAAGGACAACGCGTCGGAGATCTCGAGAACGCAGTAGACGCGTAGTCGCTCGCGTCGGTTGAGTTGGGATGGGGTGCAGTCGGGCGCGTGACAGTTCCAAGGTTCGTAGTGAACGCGACGCGGGTGCGGGAAGATGATTGCTTTGCCGTTAGCGTCTTGGCAGTGATTGTAGCGATCCCGAGGTCTCCATCGCGCGTCCCCAGTTACTTCAACTCGCCACCATGTCCAGCGCTACAACTCCTCAATTTACTGAAAAGTGTTCAGCGCTGCCTACGCCCGTCAGTGTCACCGCGAACATTCGCGACTATAAGATGGTGTCGAGCTTCAACGTTCACGAACAACATCATCCGCAAGATCAACTTCTAGGGGCAAAAATGTACATTGAATCGAATCTAGTCTACAAACTATTCATAAGGAGTGCCATGTCGTCGTATCGTATCATGTTGTTATTACAAAGGAAGGGCTCGTCTCAACGACGATGAAGAAGAAGTAGTTGGTGTCCATATCCGACACACCTTTTAGACTCACTTGATGAGGATCCGTGATCCCAACAAGGTCTCAGCCACCAGTGCTACTGATCTAGCACTGGCGGACGTACATGCCGAGGGGGCTTGGGTTGTAGTCCTGGAAGTAATCCATGGAGAAGTCACCGCTGCCACAGATCATGTAGGTAACGGTCTTGCCAGCCTCGCAGTCACCAGTCTCGACGGGGTAGGTGTTGCCAGGGGTCATCTCCATGTGGGCAACGTCCTTCTCCTTGGCGGGCATGTTCTTGTAGGTAGTCATCGCATCGGCAGGGCCCTTGAGCTTGCTGACGGTGCACTCTCCGTGGCCAGACATGGTGTAGTCGGAGGTCTCGAGGTCCTCCTTCTTGGGAAGCATGAACATGGCAGAGCACTTCTTGCCAGCCATGGAAGCAGGGATATCGAAGTTGAAGATGGTGCAAGTGTGGCTATCAACCATGCCATTGTAGGAGGTGTCGTGGGCCTTGTCGGGCTGCTCGGAGTCGACAGGTACGATGAGGTGGGGGTACTCGTAGTTGCCGTTGAGGTCCTGGGGGCATGAGCCCTCACCGCCGTTGTTAACGCCGTCGTCGGGGTTCTCTGGTGTTTCAGCGGGCTTGCTTCCTGCTGGGGGAGCGGGCATGGTCGCGGAAGCAGCGGGATAAGTCTCGGCGGGGGGAGCGGGGTGTGTCTCAGCGGGAGGAGCCGGGTGAGTCTCAGCAGGAGGGGCTGGCTTGGTCTCAGAGGGAGCGGGGTTGGTCTCAGCGGGAGGAGCAGCAGGCGCAGTGACAGTGACAGTCACGACGCTGGGAACGCACTCAGACTCTTGAGGGATACCAGGTGCGGGCTGAGAGGGCTTCATGCCTTCGGACATGGCGGGGTAGCCTGGCTTGCCTGATTGCTGAGGCTTTCCAGGTTGGCCGGGGTTCTCGGGCATGCCAGAAGGCATTCCGGGCATACCGGAAGGCTTTCCAGGCATACCAGAAGGCTTTCCAGGCATATCAGAAGGCTTCCCGGGCATACCAGACGGCTTTCCAGCAGGAGGTGTACCGGCTGGTGGTGTACCAGCAGGGGGTGTGCCAGCAGGTACGGTAGCAGTAGCGACGGGAGGTGTGCCGACGGGAGGTGTTCCAGCAGGGTATGTGCCAGCAGGAGGCGTACCAGCAGGTACAGTGGCAGTAGCGACAGGAGGTGTGCCGGCAGGTCCAGTCGCAGTGGCTACGGGAGGTGTGCCAGCAGGCTGAGAGCCAGCGGGTTGTGTAGCGCCAGCCCCGCAAGAACCGGCAGAGCCAAGAGAGATCTCGACGCACTTCTCTTGGCCGGGAGCAGGTGTTGTGTAGACGTTGTATTCGCCGTTGTCATTGACGGGGCAAGCGTAGAACTTGCCGGAGCCGTTGTATGTAACGCCACCGTTGGGACCGACCGCAAAGCCGTTGGTGGGAGTGGCACCAACGTCACATTGGAACTGGGTGGTGGGAGGAGTTAGGATGCAACCACGTCCATTGGAATCAGTGAAGCCACCGTTACCGTCCAGGCAGTAGCAGCCGGTAGGCAGACCACCGTTACCGACACGGTTCTGGCCGTCGTCGAGTTGGCCAAGTACACCCGATGCGCCGCCTGACGCCTCGAGCTTGAAGCACTGTGTAGCCTGACGAACGACAAGGGCGTTGGCTCCGAGGCCGAACGCGATGGGAGCGAAAGCGTATCTCATATTGGAAAACTGAGCGACTGTGGGATGAGGTGGAATTCGTGGATGCCCTCCAACACGTTCGAACTGGGTGCCTCTTATACTGGCCTGTGGCTCAGGGACTATGACAGCCGGTACTGCTAAAGACTCCTAGTGACTTCCAGTGTTGCGGCATCGGCTTACGTTGTTGGGATTCTAGCAGGCCTCGCGTCTGGTTCTCATCGTCATCTCGAGAACGATGATATCAGTAGACGAATACCTGTAC